TGGGTGTTAATTTCCTCACTCAGAGGATATGGGGATACATTTAGAGAGATAGAGTTGTGAAAATGAAAATTCGGCAAAAGCGTTTATCTAAAAATTTTTAAAATTCCTCAAATCGCATAAATAACACCAATATTGTATCAGATATAGTGTATAACAAAATATTTGTTTAGTTTTCTTCCATAAATAGTGTTCTTCAGTACAAAAAAAACCGATAAAACTAGACAGTATCGACCCATTTTTGTTTGCCTACAATACGTTAAAGTTACTCCGCAGTTTTGTATTCTCTTTTATGTACTAATAAAGATATTTCGTGTCATGCGCCTAAACAAACTTTGTGCAATTTTAATATTTTTTTTTATTTTCTCAGTACTTCTACTCCTTGAAGGTTTACTTTGAAATTCCTCTCGAAATAATTATCAATTATAACAGTGTTAAGGTAAGTTGAGATCAGATTAAGGGTGAGCAACGCAGAGTCAAGTACAGCACACAGTAGTTTCAATATTCTATTCATAGTTCCTATTACTACTTCGAGAATACTACTGGAGTTTTAATTATAATCGAATATGAAATATTCATAATAGAGAACATTTTTTGGGTAAGATTACTCAGTTGCACTGATGATTTGGCTGAAACAGCTAACTTCCAATTTTGCTTCTGGGCACAGTTATGCACAGCACTACAATGACAAACAATGCTGTGAAACAGAGCCGTAGTTATACGATCCTACTTCACACAAAGCATCAAAAGGCAACTGTTTTAATTTTCTGTGAGAGTACGCAAATGTGAATTATCGTCAATGAAAACGTCCAATTGAGATATCACAATAGCCACAATGAGAGAAAAGAGGGAAAGAGAGTAGAGAGTAGGAAAAATTTAAAATGTCACGCAGCATAGAAATCAAAGTTCACCAGATATCTATGTCATATCCTGCGTTTGGTAATCAAAATGTATTAAACAGCTTAATAGAGGACTATAACCGAGTAGAGACTCAGTGATATTGCTGACAGCCAGAGAGAACCAAATGAGCTTGCTGAGCACGGTTTGTCTAGAGCGATTATAAGTGGAGAATATTGTATTATGCTATAAAAAACGTACCGTTTTAAATAAAACATTTAATAAAGTTTTTCATCCGTAAAATATCCATCAATTGAATGAGATATTGCAAGAGGATTCTCAGAGATAGGAAACTGTTTTATCAAGTCGGAGATAATGCAGCTTGATACTGTTTGATATATTTCTAATGCGAGTCAGCGAAAGGTTCGGCAAGGCTTCAGCTACGAAGACCCTAACAATGGTTTATATGTAAATGAGACTGATATTTATCCAAGTGTTAAGCAGCCTAAAATGACCTGCAAAAATTTGGTAGAAACTCTTCGATATGAACATTTTGGTGTTTAATTAGGTATATATTTGGCTAAAATTTAAAAAAATTGTTGTTGGTAATATAACAAACGTAAAGTTTAAGATGCTACCTAAACATTTCCTCAAATATTTCTGACCACGGTTATTCAACTTGCATTTATTTGTATTTGAGCTGTCAGCATAGCCACCGAGGGTGTTGTTCTCCTGCTACTTACATCGTTACTTATAATTGTTGCTGTTGTTGTTGTCGAGAGAATATGATGAAGTGCATGCTTAAGTTTTTAACCTTTTTGGCAGTGCAAGGAAGAAGTTTTATCAGCGCTGCTTGTTGTGCCACACGCTTGAGTAAAAACATTTGCAGCGCGCAGTCTTACGTAGATCTTGCTTACTTTGAGTATCCTTCAGCATGTTGTCATGTTGCATGAAAAATGTGCAACTTGAGCGACTGGCAGTCGTACCGTAAATGGTGGCAAGCACAATCAATTTAACATATACGAGTAAGTATATTTATATGTATGTGTGTCTATATGCCAGCGTGTGCTTTATTAAGTTCTGTGGCGGAACAACTGTGCGTAAGTGTGCGTGTAACGATGTTGTGCATTGAAATGTCAAGTTGAATGACAAGTGTGCTCCACACAGAAGTAAATACGTATTTATATACACGAATCAAGCAACGTATCCGTATATATGTGTTTTTGTATGCATGTGTGCAAAACGCGTTGCATGTTATTGTATTAGTGAGTAACATTTAATTTGCATAAATTATAAATTTTTTGACATTTCGTCGTATTTTTGACAGCTGCGCTTACTTGTTCTTTAATGTTGGAAGCGCTGTGGCCACAAGACAGGAGGGGCCTGGCAACAACTGTCGAAGTAATTTAAATTGCTTACTAAAAGTTACACGTTGAATATATATTCTTTTTGGTTGCAAAACACAAAAACTTGCTCAATAAAGTTACAATTGCTGGGAGAAAAATTGACTTTAGTTTTTAATTACGAAAAGGTATATAATAAAGGTCTTTTGGTAGGAAATAAAAGCAGTCAAAAACTTTAAATAAATTTCATCTAAGAAAGGTTGCTAAAAAGTTCCACAAAAAAAAAAACAAATTAACATAAAAAAAATAATGCTCTATGATTGACAACGCATTACAAAAGTATTGTTGATCGAAAGAGAAAGTAAAAGAAGAGGAAGAAGCGGTAACTCTGGCGAAAAGGTACAAATTCTGCAAACAAATGAAATATTTCTGCGCTCAGGCGTTAATAACAATCGAATAACCTCATTAACCCATTTCAATGGACACAAAAACGTCGAAATAGTAACGCACAAAAAAAAACTGATTATTAATCAAAGTTCGAAAAGATAGATGTAATTTCTGAAAATGAAAAGAGTAATATAAAAAACAACAAATATTTTAAACAGTTAAAAAAAGTGAAATTTCCTGTGTTGCTGTCAAAGGTTTTCATTAATTTCATTTGAATTACTTTTGCCTTCTAACCCTAGCCATTGATAGGAAATTGTGATCCCTCGTCAATTGGCGTTGCAACATTTGTGCTTGTGTGTTTTGACACGCCACCAAGTAAGTGGGGTTTGTTTTGTATACGGTGTACGGTTCGTAGAAACAACCAAACCAAACTTATGTATGTAGTATAATCATGCTCATTAAAATATTAAAATTATTAAATACATATTATTTACATAAATTTTGTGATTCTCCTAACTAACATTTTCCCAACTAGTTTATGAACCCTGTATAGGGGACACACATTTGTATCCCTTCATACATGGCACAGTGGTATTCAACAAACGAATTTCAAAAGACATTTCAGGGTCAATTAATAAATGCTCCCGAATTTAAGTAATTTTTTTGTTCTTGAAATAATTTAAACTCTTTTTAGAACTGTACTTCGACCCAATTGTTGCAAAAAGTGATCGAAAACTGGGCCCCTCGGCTGGAATTTATTTGATGTCTTAAAAACCACCTTTTACAATCACTTTTTATGGCCTTATTCGACTAGTGGAATATGTTAACAAATTTCGTAAATATGATTATAACTTTTTTTCTTTTTTCGAAACTGAAAAATCCGCTTCGGGGAACGGGCCATGAGTCCTTTGAGGACATTAATAGTCATTCGGTGAATTTTCAGCCGAAGCTTATAACAACTGTATGGAAATTGAATTAAGCATTGGCGTGCTTGTATTTGGCTCAAAAGTAGTAAATTTTGAAGACGAAAATAAAGATTTGTATTAAAATACGTGGAAATTATGTTTTTATTTGTCAATCCGAGTCAAATTTGATCAGACCAAGGATTATTTGATGAAAGTCCAAGAAAATGCTTAGATGTGTGCTAGCGGATCAAGAATATATTACTTTGATGAAAGTTCAAAAGTTTGCATTAGAAAATCCGGTAAGGAAATGAAATTCCATCGAGTTATTGGAACGAAAAATATCTGTGCTCAAAGTTTCGACAGTCCGGACTTCTTAGAATTTCAAGCGATCATAGAGGTGTATGTTCGTTACCAACCAAAATTATATATACTTCTTTTATTTCTAATATATAAATAATTCTTATGTTTAAAACGAAATCCGTACAGAATTCAAATTCATATTATTAGCTTTAAGATGCTATTAAGTGGCTTTCCAAGTCGCGCCTATTGTTACCAAAAATTGGCATTGTGCGCCGTTACATTTTCAAATTTGGACACAATTTTGCTATTAAAGTTAAAAAACAATTATATTTGTATATAATAAATTCGGCTGTATGACTTTTAATAAGGACTTTTATGTAAAAAAAAACTGCTGAGCGATTATATAATAATGAAGGTATACAAATTTATACTACACTTATTTTACATCGATACTAATATTTACAAACATAAAAATTTACTATATATTTTTTTCCGAATAGCTTAATCATTACATGATTGCTTGCCTTACTCACTAACTTAAATATTTAAAGTGAGAGTTATATAACTCCAACCATAGTTAATGATTATATATATGTATATATAAGTATGTATATAAACTAGTATGTACAAAATCCTATTTAATTATAATATAACCTTATTTTTCACCTTTATAACATTTAACTTTTGCCAACTTCAATTTCTAGATAACTTATTCAACAGCTTAACATTTTTGTGGCTTTTTCAGTACACAATAATATTTTATATAGCGAATGAAAAATCGGTTATTAACTGACTCTGTTCTTTATATTATAAACTTTAATTTTCAATTAGACTAGTATTTTATAGTTTTGGTTTAACTAAACTAATGCGTTTTAGGATTTTTGTAAATACTATTCGTATGTATGTCTCTCATTATTTGATTTATTTTAATTAAATTTTTTTTTAGATTTTTGGATTTTATGTTTTCATACTAACCTGTCTAAATTCAGTTTGAACGCAACACAACGCAACGCAAAATTCAACTGGTAACCGCAACAGGAGACGCCACATCCGACTTCGACATTTTCGACACATTGACAGCATCCGCCGAGCATTGCCGCACTTGTGCGTCGTTCACTACGCGCGCCGCATTGCCAACCTCCTCTTCACGGTTGGCGCTGACGCGCGATTTTGCTGGTGTATTGGCATGCCGCGTTGGAGCCACGCATTGGCATTTAACGACAACCGCGTATTATAATAAATGCCAGCAGAACGAAGTGATTAAACTAGGAACGAGCAAAATGAGCAGCGCTTGCTGCCAATGGCCACGCCAACGATAATAGCTGCTGTCCAGCTGCTGTTGCCACCACCACCACCAAGACCAAAGTGACGCAAAGCGCCCATGTTGTGTATCCGTGGTGGGCGCTCTCAGCTCCTTATTGTCCCTAGCGTTGGGTACTTTGGTTGCGCCGCCAAATGTGTCAGTAGCGCCGCGTTGAAATGTAGGCTCGCGCGTTATGCCACGAAAAAGAGTTGCCGCGAAACCACTAACAATACTGAGGCCGCCACTGGTGGCGTCCATGTTACCAAAATCCAGGTTGCCAATACCGCCGACACCGCCACCAATGCCACCACCACCTGTGCCGCCAGCTGAGTTGTGGTGATGATGGCGACCATCAGAGGCACCACCACCATTACCAACACCATTTGTGCCACCATTGCCGCCGCCTATACCAGCGCCGGACATGGCCGGTCTATGCGTCGGCTGTTTCTGACCGTTAGTGTAATAGATGTTCGGCGTTAATGGTGGCAAGGGCAATTCGCTGTCATCGAAATCCTCTGCTGAGCCGTATAGGTCCTCGTCGTCTGGCTGATATGTGACTTTGACTTGTTTCATTTTCAGTACGTCATTGGTGTCCGCGTCGTTGTTGCCGCCAACGCCGTGTTTGCCGGCTGGGTTTTTACGATTTGGACCGGGTATTTCTTTGGTGAGACAAAACATGTACATATATAAATAAAATTGTAAATAAAAGCTACGATGGAAAATGAGAAAATGAAATGAAAGACTGGAAAAAAACAAAACAACGCGTAAAAGCAAAAGTGAGTAAAATTCCGCACATGTTAATCAGAGACCGAGGCCAGGTCCAGCTTTGGCGCTCAATTTTATGGCCATCAGTGTTGGCAGCAAATTGCTCAACGTAATTGAAATAAAGATGAAGACAACGGAAAAAAGCGGAAAGAAATACAATAATAATAATAATAAAAAGCAAATAAAGATACGCTACATGTTGAGAAAATAACTGTTAATGCTCAAAGGCAGCGAGTAAAAACAACGAGTAATGACGGAAAAGTGCATTTTAAACTCACCATAAAGTCTTATGCTACTGTCCACCTCACCAAGAGAGTTCTTCGCTATACAGCGGTAAGAGCCAACGTCGTCCTTTTGGAATTTACGCACAATCATTGTCATCTTTGTTTCGTATAGGGATTTAGAGGATTCCTGTACATGATACTTCAGTGAGGACACAATCATTTCACCTGTTGTAAGAAAATCAAGTTAATAACTCTGTCCTTGGATTCATATGTATTATATAATATTATATATAATAAACCATATACAATTTAAGCCGTATCAAAATAACAGCACTCTATGTGTAATTTGATTACTAAGTATTTGTAAAAAAGTTTAATGCAAATTGTAGTTGAACATGAAGGATGGTTAGAGTACGTCAAGAGGATTTTGTCGTCTAATCTGTATATGAAAAAAGTGAAGCTTTGTGAAAGTATGTATAATCCTTTATAATACTTTAGTAAAGTATTACATTTGACGATAGCGATTAAAAAAACAAAAAAAATTTGGATGAATTAGGCTAAGAATACTGTCAAAGATGAGAGATTGGCTTAAAATTTTGTAGAAAATTATTATATTTTTTTAGTCAAAATTCAGTGTATCCAAAAATCAACTAGATTTCTCGAAAAATTCTTCTATTCTATTTATGTATATTAAGCCTAACTATACGAATTCAAATCAACTACTAACTCAAAAATCTCACAATTAGTAGACCAGCAGGGTAGTTGACATTTGACCCGTGTTGGTCAGCAGTTCGGATGAGGCAATTTTTTAAAAAAGTTTGTATCTATATTGAGAAAAAGGGAGAAAAACCCTGAAAAATTTATCCGAACTTAATTTAAACGATCAAAATCAAGTTCTGGTATAAATGTAAGGAGCTATATGCTATAATGGTCCAACCTAAGCAATGAATAAACACAAAATATCTTGCAGATATCTTGCCAAATAAAAAAAAGTTCCATACCAAGGCATTTTTGGTTTTGTTCGTTCAGTTTGTATGGCAGCTATATCGTATAGTGCTCGAATATCGGCGTTTCCTACCAATGAGCAGCTTCTTCAGGATGTGTGGAAATTTCGTATAGATATCTCAAGAGGATATGTGAAGATAGACAGTCGGACAGACGAAATGACTAAATCAACTCAACTCGGCACAATGAACCTTTATGTATATATGTATATTTTATATTGTATCCGACGTGTCCTGTTGGGTGTCACAAACTTCGTGGGTATAATAACTAACACAATTGTATTGGTCATCATATATTAAAGGCCAACAATACCGCTTCGTATTCAAATTGATTTTTTTCTTGTAAAAATAAACATGAATATCCTCAAGTTTTGCTTATGGCTGTTGAATTATTGGTACCAGCAAAATTAGTAATTATATTATCACAGATTTGGGGCGCAATTTTGGTACTGGTTCTGGTTGATACTTATCTTATGAGTCTGATATGATTTCAGAAAGCTATTGGCATAAGTTCGAGAGAATAAATCGAAACGGAAATCAAAGAGTTAAATAAAATGGATGGTTAGCGAACGTTGGATCATTTTTAACATAAAGTCGGGAGAAACCCATCTTCCGAGGGTCTATCAGACATTTACATATGCTCTGTCTAGTACGCTCAAACCCCATTAGTATTGGCAAATAGTCAATTTATTCATTAATAACATTTAGAAATATTGGTATAAAATAAGCAATAGTTAATTGATTCGGATATAATTATTAGTAATTATATTATCACAGATTTGGGGCGCAATTTTGGTACTGGTTCTGGTTGATACTTATCTTATGAGTCTGATATGATTTCAGAAAGCTATTGGCATAAGTTCGAGAGAATAAATCGAAACGGAAATCAAAGAGTTAAATAAAATGGATGGTTAGCGAACGTTGGATCATTTTTAACATAAAGTCGGGAGAAACCCATCTTCCGAGGGTCTATCAGACATTTACATATGCTCTGTCTAGTACGCTCAAACCCCATTAGTATTGGCAAATAGTCAATTTATTCATTAATAACATTTAGAAATATTGGTATAAAATAAGCAATAGTTAATTGATTCGGATATAA